CATACTACTCGACCTGTATAGGAGAGAAATAATTTAAGGACTGTTTTGTTACTTCAGCTATCTAGCTGGTGCATGTATATTACTGATCATGAGGATTTAGTTTTTTTGTTTAACGTCCAATTAACAGCTATGGTCATTTAAGGATATGCCTCCATGTGATGTGTATGCGTGATTGTGTATATATGGGCTGAAGGCAGGGTATGTTGGTGAAATTGCCTCCTTGTGGTATTGCAGATCTTCGCCCGGTCACATTATGCTGACAACGGGTGAAATAGTTGCCCTTTCCCTTAATGGTGAACTTTAAAGGTGAACAACCACCAAATGCTAAAACACATCAAATATAGTGTCAAAATATTAATAAAACATATAATAATTAGTTGAAATTCTATTTTTTCAAAAAAAAAATCCGTTTAATCGTACACCTTGGGAACCACACAGTATGTACGCAGTTACTTCCCTTTGGCTGTGACGTCATTTGTGACGACCGGAAAGCGCGCCAGCTGTCAGTTCGGAGGCAGTCGTCCGGAAAACGTAAACAAACATGGTACACTGTGCTGCGCTGAACTGTAACAGTAATTCCAATAATGGAGAGAAAATCAGTATGCTCCAGTTCCCAAAGGACAAAAAGCTGCGGAAAAAATAGACAATTAAGGTAAAGAGAAAGGGATTTTCTCCAACCTCACACACGAGACTCTGTCAAAACCATTTTGAACCAGGCAGCTTCGTGAGAGATCCACGATTGATGTCGTCGATAAGCTTTGAACCTAAAAGTCTGAGATTAAATCCGGGAGCGATACCAACACTTTTTGATTATTCACCGAAGTGTTCAAGCAGTTTGGTTCACATGTCAACCCCTTTAACCTCCAAGTATGAGGACCTGTAGAGTGCGTCCGTTTATGTTCGTACAGGCATCTAAATTCGTACATGTTGAATTAAAGGCTTATATAAATATGTTGGTGTTGTTTTCTGTGTTAAAGATGCGACGGTCATGTACAGTGAGTTATCGAGCTACTCTGTGTACTATATTTAGAC